CCCTAAATGCTGTTTAGAATCTGGGTTGAAAATTCAAGAAGAAGGGATCAGAAGTGACAAAGACCGAGAGAATGAAGGGAAGATGAAGAAACAAGAAGAATTCATGCAACTGAGGTTCAAACCAGATCAACAAAAGCTAGAATGACCCTCCCAGGTTGTCCCTACCTAGGCTGAAATGACTAGGCTTTTCATTTCAACCCCATACTCCTCCAGTCAGCTCACTGCATATGCACAGCCCCCACAAAGCTATGGCTTTGGAGTAAAGGGCATCTGCTGCTGAGGTGACACGTGGAGGGACTGACCTGTGAAGGCTATGTGCCCCCTACACGTGCGCGCATGCACACACTCACACACACATACGCACACACAAACATAGCAACAGGCATCAGTACTCTACTGAGGTGGTATTTGGAGGGGCTTCACAGTGTCCACCACTAAGTCTAAATTCCTATCTTAAAAAAGTGGGAAAGTCAGGGGCAGAAACTTTAGAGTTACAAATCTGAGTCTCAAACTCAGAATTTATCATTCCTTGCTGGGGCAACTGGGTGGCTCAGCGGTTGAGCATCTCTGCCTTTGGTTCAGGTTGTGTTGTGATCCTGGGATCCAGGGACTGAGTTCCACATCAGGCTCCCCACAGGAAACCTACTTCTCCCTCTGCCTATGTCTCTGCCTCTCTGTGTATCTTGTGAATAAATAAAATCTTTTTAAAAAATTTATCATTCCTTGCTTATTCTGTAGTAATGATGTCTATTTTGGAAAGAACGAACAAGGAAATATTTACTTGCTTTAAGTAATTTTCTTCAATAGGATAAACAAAAAGGAATGAGTTCAAAGAATTCTTGATGTTTTTATAGACAGAACTGAATTGTCAAAGCCTTCACTAAATTATGAATAAGGCATCATATGTCTAGTTTCTATATATTTTAAGTGTTATTTTTAAATGTCTTTATGTGTGTTTTACAGGGCCTTCTGATCCCTACAAATGCATTACCAACATACCAACATACTAACGTATACTCCCTAATAATGCTTCCTTTTCCTAAGTCTTCAATGGGTCTAGTGGGAAAAGCATTGAACTGATAACTATGCCAAGAGCAACACTAAGTAGGTGAATGTACTTTATTTAGCTTTGATAAAACTTTGATAAACCTCTTTGGTTCTTCATTGTTAAATTTTTCTTGAAAGTGGTTAGATATAAGACAACTTCCCATTCAAAATGCTATGGATAATATGGGGAATATGAGTTATGGGTATATGTATTACATTTTTACAGCATGCTTCCTGTCACATACCATATTTTGGCTACACTACCCTTTCTGGTCTGTATACTTGCCACACTCCTTTTTACTTCAGGGTTTCCACACTTGTTTCTTCTGCCTTGAGCAGTAACCCCAAGTCATCTCATGGCTGACTCTTTCCTCTCTCAGGTGATGGCATTAAGGTCATCTCCTCAGAGGTCCACACAACTTAAGTAATCCCTCCATGTGTGAGCCAAATGTCCTTTATACTAATTTATTATCTTAGTAACACAATTATCTCAAATCACCTTGTTTATATATTTATCTGTTACTCATTGTTTAACCCCTAGTACATATTTGTACCTGGTATTTAAGTAATTATTTCATGTGAAAGAATAACTCAGGCAATACATGAGTATTTGTGATTTAGATGATTTTAAATACACAACAGAAATGCAAAAATTATTAAATTTTTCACCTGGGGAAATCAATTCACCCACAACTCTGAATAAATCAGAATAAAAGAAGGGACAGTTACTCTCTATCTTAACATCACAATTTGTTTTAATATCACAATTTTTATTAAATAGGCTCTCTACTATATTTTTATATGAGTCTTCTCTTCCTAAAGGGTATAAGGACGGACAAAATGAGTGTGTTTCTGTTTCCACAAATAATATATTTTTCAAAGTAACAGAAATATTCACTCTGTGAGAGACTTTCCATCTTCTAACTGGTAAAACCTTGTAAAAATGTTGAAAATTCTTAACTTTCAATTCTGCATTAAAAACAAGCCTATAATAAAGAAGTCTGAATAAGAGAGACAAACAAAAACAAGCTATAAATTAGGTCACTAGACTTACAATAATATTTTTGCAAGGAGCTTTTACAATATTTGGCTAGCTTTTAAGCTAGGAATATAAGATGTCCCAGAAGATTAATTGAACGTAAGAATTCAACCTCTGATAGGGTCAAATGGAATGTCTTTTGTGATTCAGGCTGAACATTTATACTCATACTCAAATATGGATCATTCTACTTATCTCAGTGTACACTTTCAATGAGACATTAAATACTTTATTTTTAATCAGGGAGGTATTATATTCTTATTTTTAACTGTAGTTATTTTAAGTTATAAAGTTCTATACATGTTCACTTGTCTTTATTAGGGAGAAATTCTTTTATTTACCTAAAATTCTCATTTTAGTAGCTCTCTCTCTCCACCCCGTAGTTACTCTAGAAATTTGGTGGTTGGTGGGAAATATCTTGTTTACTCTACCCTACCATTTATTTTCATGAGAATTTGATTCCATGTACTTTCAAATATCATCTTTTGAGATAAATGAGATTTATCAGGTATGGGAGAGCCTGGTCTAAGAAAGTGTATTTTCTTACAGAGGCCAGTTAATAATGGATTGATGTCAAGATCATAAAACCACAAGCAGTATCTGATACAGTAAAAGAAAGATTTTACTGTATTATGAAGTATAGTGGAAATGAGCATAGATAAATCCTAGAATTATTTTTAAATACATTTTGTGTAAAAAGTTTTAAATAGTAATCAATCACTAACTGAAATTAATGTTTCTCCAAATTATCAGGCAGTTGTCCTAGTCTATAGTGACATCAAAGTGTAAAAAACCTGGAAAAATAAAAATGCCTCAAACTGGGGCTCCTGGGTGGCTCAGTCGGTAGAACATGTGACTCTTGATCTCAGGGCTGTGAGTTCGAACTTCACACTCAGTGTAGAGCTTACTTATAAAAAAATTAAAATAAGATAAAATCTTTTTTAAAATGCCTCAAATATAGGCAAAATCCCTCAGTAATCATTTTCCACAAAGACTAACACTATGTTGTACCACAGTCTGTCTGATCTTTTACATTACTCACATAAGATATTATGTTAAATAACATAATTCAGGAAAAAAAATATACAGGCTTTGTCATACTCTACACTCATTTTAGCAGCCTTGCAAAATTAAAAATGTTTTCCAAATGAAATGTCAAGAGAATTATTTATTTTACACAAGTGATAGTGTAACAAGTCTTGGATGACACTGTTACTAGCTTCAGAGAAACAGAAAACAATTACAAAGCTAAGTTAAAGGCAACTTTATTACAGTACTTTCCAAACTTCAAAATGCACTTATTATTGAATTTATAACTAATATATAATACATTATATTACAAACAGAAAGCATATCTGGTCAAATTATTAGCTTGCATATATTGCCCAAAATATAGTTTCCTAGGAACAGCAGCCACACACAATAGTTTATATCAGTATATTTCTGATGTCACATAAAGAATCATTTATAATTTATTTTATGTTCATTTAAAAACAAAGCAAAGTTATCTTTTCCATTTCTTACTAGTTAATGCCTTGAAGTTGTTTATACCCTAAAAACATCCACCAGTTTTGAAGGATCTCCTTCGGTAGAAAATAGGATTTTTGAAGCTAACCAAATAAAAGAACACTCAATTTCCCCACCGCAAATAGGGGAAGAGTTGTCTTCTTTCCTTTTTAGAAGCCAAATCTGGGCCTCCTTCTCTTCATAGCCATCTTGAAATGGTTCCTGCTTTAAAAAATACCCAAATCTACAAAAAACTCTATTCTGATAAAGTCTTCTCTGTTTTATCTTGCCTCCTATTTGTTTATTTAGGGTAATTTACAACCCACTTTGAACATTATGTAATAATGAATTTAAAAGTAATCTTTCAAAATGTAACAACATAAAGGATATATTTTCCAAATTAGACAAGGATATTATTTGCTCATCTACCTCTGCTTCACACAACCAACCAAATTCAACTTACAAAAGAATTCCTTTCCCAACATCAGTACCCTAATAATAACGGATACAGATATAAAACCACTGAATAGACTGGAGTCTCTTAATTTGCTCTCTTATTTAATATTTGTGAGATACTGACTAGCACAAAACAAGTTCATTTTCCTCTTTTTTATGACAGCAGAAAATGGTTAGAAAAGTATAGAAAAGGTTCTATTTTTTTGTAAGGCAAATTTAATACAGATTTTGCTATGAGGTTGGAAAAAAGAAAAGGTGAATGAAAAGGTATATGCTGGTTGCTTGGGGGGCAAGACTCATAAATCACTGTACGTTAAGAGCACGTGCTGAAACTTCATGGTGCCAGTCACGTAATTTTGTGTATTTGGGACTAAAGACGTGAAGGGGTATCTTTTCCCTGTGGAAATAAAAAAAAGAAAAGAAAAGAAAAGAAGAGAGAAGTGATAGAAGAGTCATAAGAAAGAGAAAGTTTCTACACTTAGTTCATGCAGAAAGCATGCTTTATAACAGCTTAATTTCACTGAGCTATTTTACTAAATAGCAAAGATTTTACGGGTGGAACATTTTTAAAAATACAGAAATTAATCCATAGAGCCCTCCTGGAACATCCATTTCTGTGCCCAAAATAAAATTACTACAAGACAACACAAACTCATTCACAGAGATCTGTAGTGTTAGCAAAAGCATCCCCATATATACTCTTATGCCCACTTATTTCAATTACAAAAGAAAAATAACCTTATGTGAAATGTAGATAATATCTATTAATATGAAAATCTGCATGTTTTTTAAGTCCCACAGTTAAGTCCTACAAAAGATACCAAAGTTAAATGCTTAGCTTCTAGTTACAAAAACAAAAAGCCATACCATTACACTTGAAAATGTGAAAAAACAAACCGAGACCATTCATGAAAGGAAAGCATTCAAGGTACCAAAAAAATGGATAACTTACTTTGCCTTCTTAGTATTTTCAGTGTCCGATTCTTTCACTGAAATATAATAAGCAATATCCAATATTAGTTTACTTTTTTTTAACTTGAAAAATCACTTAGGCAATTACCTGTAGCAATTAATACCATATGGTCAAGCTGCACAGAGCCACTAAAAAACATTCCATATCTTGCAGTCACTGGCTACATACTATAATAAGTACTACTACTGCTGCTGCTTCTACTGCTACACTTTTCAATACAACTCTCCTGGGCTAGCTTCTTATTTACATTACCCACATTATGCATGGCATAATTTAAGAGCAAACTGACTCAGGAAAATTACTGTTTTCCAATAACTGCCCATCTAATTGCTATTCTTTATGGCAAAGAATATTCTTAAAATCCTTAGGTATTCACTTACGATGTTCAGTCCCAGTGATCTGGGCAAGGATCCGGAAAGAGCGAGACTGAGTCGTTCCAGTCCTTGGACGCCAATCTTCAGTGTCCTCCATCAGTCTCTTCTTGCTGGCATCACTATGAGTTGGTATGTGATAAAACTCTGTATTGCGCTCCACAATGTGTTTTCTCGGTGGGCTAGGATTAAAAGGAAGGAAAGAAATAAAAATTTTTATATTATATTAAGGATAAAATATCCTCTGCCAAATTATTTATAATATATACACTTAATATCAATGTTCTTTTTTATATCTTTTGCTTGTCCAAGAAAGTGAACTTATTCTCAATTTTCTTAAAAAGGCATCCTTCTGTAATAGAGTAGACTTGCTTTCTCTTAAACTAGTAAAAAAAAAAGTATTTATATGCTTACATAAAATAATAGTATATATAAGTATCTATTCAAGAGAAAGTTTACCGTTTGGGTGGGGTTTTCCTTTTAATTGACAGAAGAAGGCAGCAGAAGAGAGATTCCACCATAAAGAAAAGGAAAAGAGTAAGACGGAAAATAATGAGAATTGAAAAACTCACAGGGGTTTAAACTTTTTTTTGAAATTACTTGTATTGTTCTTCTATCTTATGCCTAACAAAATACAGGTGTGGACTATATTCACAACCACTATTAAATATCGGTATGTTGTCAAAATGTATCAACTTTCACAAAATTAGAAAAAAACATATCTTCACTACACTCAGGAACTAAGGATGGTTTACTACAGGCTAAGTCAGCAATTTCAAATGCAATTTTGAAAAAGGTCAGAACTGTTACTTTCTACGGTTTTCTCATTCATGTGTATAGATACCCCTCATCCTAAATAAAGTTAGGGTCACAGGGTCAACTGTGTAGGAAATAAGAACTGTGGTATATGAGAAACCAATAAAATGTTTATCAAAACACCAAGTTATAAATCCTGGCTCATTGATTTCACAGATCTGTGATTTTGGACAAGTCAACTTCACTGAGCCTGTTTTTTCATTTATAAAATGAGAGTACCACACACAAAGTGGTATTGTTCTAAGCATTAAATGAAATAATTTATGTGAAAAGGATTTGAACTCTGAGTTTGCTAACTGAGCTAACTCTGAGTTCATTTTTCTGTTAACAAAGAAATATTAAGGAATTTATAATGTATATTAACACTTCAGCCTAAGATCTACTGACCATAACAAATACTCAGTTCTCTCCCACCTCTCCCCAAAACAAGACAAATGCAAACTTTTGGAAGCTATGAGTCTAATTCCAGGAGAGAAAAAGGAGCCTAACTCTGAACCAGCATACTATTGCCATAAGATCCAAGCAGAGAAAGTGCTCAGAGTATCAGATGTGGGTGGCAACATCTCCTGGGTGTAACTCATTGCTAGAAAATCACAGCACTATCAGAATGCCACTGGACTGTTGTCATTTTAATAAGCTACACTACCAAAACTGTCTCAGTATACTAGAAGAGTTTTTGCCCAGTGAAGAACTTGATAGGATTAATATTAACACTGGCTTTAAAAAACAGACATGTAGTAGTTTCAAGCATGACATCCTTTACTTAGTGTGTGTTTCATGCAAGTCATTTAACTACTCCAAATCTCAATTTTACCCATCTGAGAAAAGAGGATTGCATCTACTTTAAAGAATTGTTTTGAGGAATAAATAAGATTTATAACATATGTTAAATGTTTTCCCCAAAGTATCTAATGCATAGTAATGATCACATAATGTGTTTTTTAATGATCACTAAAAACATTATTTGTAATGCATTTTCTAAGACTATGGGTCATCCGCATATATAAAGAACAGAATAAGGGACATCTCAGTGGCTCAATGGTTGGTTAAGTGTCTGACTCTTGGTTTTGATTCAGGCTCAGGTCACAATCTTATGAGTTGTGAGACTGAGTCACACTGGGGCTCCATCCTCAGCAGGGAATCAGCTTGAGATTCTCTCCCTCTGTCCTGTCCTCATGCATGTGCATGAGCACTCTTTTTCTCAAAAAAATGAATCCTTAAAAATAAATAAGGAACAGAATAAATAATATTTATACATAAGATATTTATAGTTTATGGTAAAAATTTAAGATTACATAAGTAAAATATCTAATATTTTACTATTAATTACTTTACTAATTACTTTTACTAAAAACTTAATCCTTTTTAAGAGAATTTTAAATATTAGAATACGTAGACTACTTCATAAACACATTACACTTAGAAGACATAATTTCCTACACAGACAACTCTTTATCTTATGCAATTACTTGAAAAACTTCATATTTAACTACCAAACTTAAAGTTTAAATTTCTCTATAATTAGTGAATCTGGCTTACAATTAAATGGTGCCAATTTCAACTATAAGACTATTGTATTTTATATAAAAGGTGTGATCTGTAAAAATACAAAACAGTGGTGGCAAGCTAAGAATAAGTATACTAGAAATAATAAAATGACACCACTTAAGAATGCTTTTTAGCCATGACATTCTTGCAAAAAAGCACAATACACCTTAGACTCTGTGACAGTCATCACAGCTTAAAGGCCTTGTGGTAAGTGATATGAAATTTCTAAACTTTTACCTTAGCTTTTTGGCTCTGACACTCTAAACTCTGATGACTATGATTAAAAAGAGAGTAATATCAATGGTTTTCATTTAAAAAATATATTTGAGCTAGAACATAAATTTAACTATCAAAAGCAAATAATTTATTTCAAAATATAGGTATTCACAATTAGCTACTTTATTCAAATTAAAAAAAAAGAATACTAACCAAGAGAGGCCCAAACTATGTATCTAACTCAAGTATACCCTGTCTACAATACTCATCTATCTTCTTGAAGGTTCGGCTTACTAATTTTTTTTCCACTGCAGAAGTGGAAAATACACCCACTGATTTATACGACATTCCCTACCATGAAAAACATGTTTCCTAGGTTCCTTAACATATTTGAAAATTCTTGCATGAAGAAGACACTAACCAGGTTTGCTGGTGGTATTAAATTGAAAGGAAGATGGAAAGTTACAGAGAGACAATGATAAAAATTACAAAAGGAAGCACTGATTAGGTACTTACACGGTGCCAGGGTTACTGAAGGAGGAATAATACACACAAAAAATATGTAATAGAGTAGAGAAGACATTGATGTTCCCAGGATAATGGAAAATGGACAAATATGAGGCAAAAAAAAAAGAGGGAGAGAAGAGAAAAGGAAAAGAAAAAAGAAAACAAAAAATGAAATAATGAAATTCAAAACAATGAATTTACATGAAGATATTACACAAACGTCATGCTTCAAAATAAACATAAACAAACAAAAATGACCAAATGTTAGTCAGAATTCTGTTATACTGTTAACAGAAAAAGATCCACTATTTAAAAACATCTGTAGGTTTATATAAATTTATTTTAGTATGTATCCAAATTCCTATATGTTTCTAATAAAAGGCAGAGAATAAAATAATTGTTAGATGTAATGTGTAGAAACAGAACATTTTAGAATCGCTTAAAATCAGAGGAGAATAAGAGAAAGTCTTTTACTCATGTAATATATGAAGTATATATTAATAGCAAATAGCAAATATAATCTCATAAAAAATTATCCTGAATCATTAAAATAAAAATATAACTCCCCAAATCACTATTTGTATACCTGAAATTAACGTAACATTGTGTATTAACTAGGATTAAGATAAAAACCTAAAAGCCAAAAAAATTATCCTGAATCAAATATTATAAAGAAATAACATATTATTTGATTTTGTTCTCATTTTTTTTAAAATGTGATTATAATCGAGAATATAGGAAGTACAGTGGATCAAAAATAATGGGCTACCACTCAGTTTTCATGTTCTCCTCTGTCCATCATTACTACTCTTATTCACAAGCAAATCCCAGTAAGTTTAGTGATTTGTAGGAACTCATGTTTTTGTATTATCAGTGACCTAATTATTACCCAAAAAGGCATGTCTGATATGATATAGTAAAGGCACTACATGAATAATACGACCTGAAGAAGGAAATCTCATATGTAATTCATTGACACAGCCTGTTAACTGTACAATCATTAAAAACAAATGTATTTATATACCATTATGATAGAGATGACTGAAGTATAAACAACATAGTTTGCCAACACACTGCTGAATCAATCCTGAAATGAAGTTTAGTCAGAGTAACTAGTAATTCATTATAAACACAGTGACAAAAACTGCCTACCATTTTAATACTGAGACTATTCATTGTAGCCATATTTCCTACCTATATATCAAAGTCAGTTTCATAAACTCTACAGAGAGCTGAGTTTCACTGAACGGGGGAGGGATGCAGGAGTAAGTTGATCTCAATATCTACTGATACTTACTCTGCTCTAATCACAATGGAAAGCTTTCTGCTTCATTGTTATTTTAAATAGCAGAGAATTTTTCAAAATAACCTAACCTAAACAGAATTTTAGATACATATTTAAGCATTTTTAAGTCTAAGGGAAAAGTTTTGAATCAACATGAAGATGGAAGGGAAACATTCTACAGTGTAATGAGTGGCAACAAGTGGATATCTGATTGGTTTCAACCTAAAGATGTCAATTTGTGTATATGGAACAAATACTTTCAAGCATTTCAGAAAATGTGCCCAAGTAGAATGGCACATCATACACTGCGATGGCATTTGTGCCAATGTGACAATGAGAAGACCTGGCTTCATACCCTGGCTATGCTGCCCACATCACATGCCCTATGCCCAGGACATGGTGCCCAGGCAATCTACAGAAGCCTCTCTTTCCTGAACAGTGAAATGGACTACAATTTCTTTTTCTTTCAGACTTCTGGTAACGGCATGCATTTAATATATTTGAAAGCACTCTGAAAACCATACAAATACAGATTTGTTGTTAGGTTAGATCCCCTAACTTATAAAAAAAATTACTATCAAACCCAACTGTAGATTATGCACATTATTCATTCATATTGCCTCAACCCATTTAAAAATAAATACAAATTCAAAGTAACAGAAAAAAGCCAGGGTCACAGTCAGGTGATGCAGAGGAAGGCATGTCAAACTGGCTTCAAAAAATCTAAGCTTGAATCTTAAACACTTACAAGATACATGAGAAAATTAAGTAACCTCTCACTTCAAAGTTCAAATGAGAGTTAAATCACATAATGCATTTAGAAACACCTAGGACAATGGATAGTAATAATGTCTCTGAACCTTGAATTAAAATATATATATATATATATATATTTAACTTAAAATGCTTAAATTTATTATTCCAAGGCCCAATTTTTCCTCTTTATAAGTCAAATTGTTTGTTACACTGGAATCTAGTAACTAGCCAAAATCTTTGTGTATAAGAATTTAAACAGGGACGCCTGGGTGGCTAAGTGGTTGAGCGTCTGCCTTCGGCTCAGGGTATGATCCCGGAGTCCCAGGATTGAGTCCCACATCGGGCTCTTTGTGTGGAGCCTACTTCTCCCTCTGCCTGTGTTTCTGCCTCTCTCTCTGTCATGAATAAATAAATAAAATATTTTAAAAAAAGAATTTAAACAATAAATTAGGGCTTGGAGATCTTTCACTAGTATACTTGGGTGCTATATTCCTACATGTATGTAACATGGAACTATTCAATTAGTGGGACCACACCCAGCCTAAAATAAAATTGTTCTAATACCTGATCATTAGTTCTCAGGTGTGTCTAAAACAGTTAAATATTCCATCCATATTTCCAATTCTAACCTACATTGTGATGACAAATTGCAGCACATGCTCAGACTGATCATAACACAAAATTAATTTCTTATCTAATGTAATTTTTATCTCTTTTTAAGGCTGTTAATCACCAGTGTACCATCAAGACACACACACACACACACACACACACACACACAAAATAAAAAATAAACAGACACAAAAGCAAGGTTTTAAAGGTATACCACAGTGGTTCCCAATGTCTATGCCAACTACCTATGACATTTAATAAGTCAGTAACTATCTCTCTTAACTAATTTCAGAGGTATGTATAAACTTTTATCATCCAGTGACACACAACTGTACATGTAGAGGTCTAAAACTTCCAGCAACATTGTTTAAAAAAATAAAAAAGGTTCTTCAGAGACTTTACCTGGGAAACACCAGTTTGTTATATGGATTTGGAAAACAATTCAGTTTTATATGTTATTTACTAGTGCCATATATGTTTATGCTTTCTTTTGTATCTTTCTCTTTGTCTCCTAATAGTCTCGACTGACACAAATTGCATTTCCCCAAGCATTATGTCTTATAAACCACTACACAGCAAACCCCACATGTACTTTATGACAAAAGTTAAATACTATTATTTATTACCATAAAGCAATTCATTACAACATAGCAATGCAAACCAAACTTAGTGAAAACACTAATAAATGTTTTTATAAATGACAGCTGCTTTGCAAAATATAACTTAATTTTGCAAAAATGAGACACATTCATGCTGTTTACTCATATATAAATCACCATATTTCCTCTCCAGTAATGGGGATACTAACTTTGTCACTTGTGTTTTCTGTAAAGAGAAAAGCATTTAAAAATATTACTACCATATCATCATATTTTCTATCTCCCAAGGCCAGGTTCTTCAAAAGAACATATTGGAACTGTTAGAAGAAATTGCAGTCCAACAAAATTGAAATTAATAACGGATACATGAAAGACTTACCTCTTGAAAGCAGTGGCATATTATAATGCAAGGGCATATAGAAAGGGAAAAGGTAAATTATTTAAACTACTTGATGCAAAATAGCTTTCCTTCTGGTGTGGAATATAAAGTCCCATTTTGTTCTAAGTAGAGTAAAGAGGGAGAGGAGTACGGAAAAGAGCAAGTTAAGATCAATAATTTGTATATGCAGAAGAAAGATTAAAAATTTCATAAAGTGCCTTGTTCATTATTTTTCATAAGAAACAAGATACACTTACGTTGTATCTTTAAGAAATATTCTAAAGCTATCAACATAATTATAGATTTCATCATACCTTATAATGAGTTAAAATCTCTCAGTAGTAATGCATAATGAATAAACACTTACTGTGTCTTATGTTTATTAATCCTGTATAAATTTGGGTGAGACACCTATCAATTTGGCAAATTAGCCAGTTACTTTAAATCACTTAAAGACTAATAATCTTGCTGCTCTGAGGAAAAAAACAACTTAAGAATTTAGCTTTATACCCTCTTGAAATCTTAATTTTTAGTTACTGGCATATGTTTTTTTTAAATAAAAATGTAATTAATAAAAAGTAACAACTCTCAACTTTGAAAGAGTTTTGTTGTAGATCTTTTGTAATATTATAAAAATATGAAAAATGTACTAATCACGTAATTAGTAAATAGTCTGACAATGATTTCAGAAAACAGTTTTGATACCTGATGAAGGAAATGAATTCATCAATACCACAAAACACCTACTCTTCAAAATGACACATTATTAACTAGTAAAGTGTGTGATTTATTTTTGATTTCTTTAATGTAGTAAGAGAAATGGCAACTGCAAATTCATCTTAGAATTTCAAAGGCACCACATTTTGTTTTCAGAGTAATCAAGTTTTCATTGTCCTAACATCTGGACAACATTTGAAAGCAATCTATACCCAGTTTACAAATGTGAAGCCATAACCTTCTTGTTAATTATGCAAAAATGTAATAATCCCTTTTCTCCTCACTCTTGCACAGGTCTGGATACAGGCACAAGCCCAGTAATCACATGTCCACTGATTAAAAAACCATCATTGAGGCCCTATTACTGCACCACTGCCTACAGTTTCAATTTGAAAACAATAAGCTTTAAATCATTTTAAGTTTAGTCAAAGTTGTACTTATAAAACACAAATTTAAGATTTATATTCATATTTTCATGTTTTAAATGTAATACTTTTCCATAACCTGAATTTACTTTTACCTCTATAAGTTTCTATTAAGAAGACTATTGGGGATCCCTGGGTGGCTCAGCGGTTTAGTGCGTGCCTTGGGCTCAGGGCGTGGTCCTGGAATCCGGGGATCAAGTCCCACATCCGGCTCCCTGCATGGAGCCTGCTTCTCCCTCTGCCTGTGTCTCTGCCTCTCTCTCTCTCTCTGTCTCAAATAAAGAAATAAAATCTTAAAAAAAAAATACTATCTTATATGAATCAGTAAAGTAGATGGATTTTTTTTCTTTAAAAAAAAGACAATGATTATCTTATAAAATTGCAAGAAATGTTAGTAAGGAGAAATATGTTTGTTCAGACACTTTTTCCAGTGGACTTTTTAATACGGAAACTGGAGTTTAATAAACATAATAAACTTCTGCTTGTAGTTTTCTATGGGATCAACAATTTGACAGGCAGCATCTTTCTTCTCAGAATATCTACTTTGATTTCTTTAAAATCTATTATCTTAAAATAGACATATAAAAAAATACAACCAAACACATCTCAACACTACATACTATTTCTCTTCCACAAATAAAAGAAGAAATAACATTCTTTGAAGGACACTAATTTTCCTCAATACATATGTCAAAACTTTAAAAAGCCACCCACAACCACAAAAACCATATGTTCGGACCAGTAGCGGTTCTTCCAGACCTCCTGCTCTTTCTCTCAGCAGCAGCCTGGAGCCCTGCCACGTCTTTTTCAAAGCCCCAAAGTTGCCATGGCAGCATTGCTACAGAAAGCACAGGCCCTTCATTACATGAATTAAAATTCGGAAGGGATTATCTCAGAAAGGACCTATCCACGCAATTATTTTAATTATGTTTTCCTGGGAACTGGCATTAGTAAAACCATCATACATGCAGATGATTTCCCTTTGTTTTCCTTTTAAAGTACATTTTTGTAACAATAAATCTGATCAAAATCATATCACAAAAATGACTTTGGCTTCAAGTATAGTCACTGAATTCCAAACAGAATAAAATGACCATGTATAAATGGAAGCTGCTGAAAATGCACTTCAATTTTTTTAAATGCCTCAAAAAAGAAAAAAATCATAAGGAACAGATTTTCCAAAACTTCCACTGGCATCGTATATTCAGTGTCCACTTCTGTAAATCCATTTATTTTAGAAAAACTTTTACAATGTCAGTGCTTCTGTTTGTGAAGCATCCCTTGATGCTGTTGTTCTGTCATTACTGTTTGCTTTTACAGACTAAATTCTAAATTCTAGCTTAAGCTTATCTGAAAAGAATGTTGCTGGCTATCTGACCTAAGCTAGTGCATCATACATAGACATGAGTCAAAACTAAATTTGCTTTCTGTCTTAAGACTACTTCCTAGAAAAAAAGCTTCTTACAAGCTCCTCATTTCCTCTCATCTTAGGGTGAGATACATAAGCTAACACAACTCTGTTTAAACTTTTGGTGACTAATAAAAGGATGGAAAAAATGAGAAAGAAAGATTCAAGATCTGCCTTGCATTATAACTGCCAGCTGCTCCATGTTATGCCAGGACTTGGAGAAAAAGGTACAGAGTATGTTACACGGTTCATAACATGTCAAAATACATACTTAGGTTTTGATTAACCTATAATTGCCTTGCAGCAAGTGCTGTATGTATATAATATAAAGCTACATGTTAATGAAGCAAATAAAAACTTCATCTCCCTTCCTTCAAAGAACAGCTGATTTGGGGGGGATGTAAATGATTTCCTGGAAATCGCCTGAAAGAAGAGTTTTTATAAGAGCAGAAAGCACCCTTGGCCACCTACCCATTTTGCTGTTTACTGTCACCCTGGGATCCTCTTCTCTGCCCCTCTGCTAGCTCCTGAGCAGTCTCGGAACACACGCTGGTGACTGCGGGCTGCCGTGGGACATTAACTGCAGGTTTACCAGCGCTCAGTGCAGATGAATGCTGGTCAGCATTAAGATTGGCATTAGCATGCAGTCCAGATGCAGCAAATGAGGGAGGAGTGACAGCAGCCACAGGTGGAGGGGAAGCATGTGATGAAATGGTCGCATGGGCTGGGGTGAAGGCAGACGATGGTGATGGGATAGATGTAACTTTTGGTGAAGACACAGAACCAAAGGGTCGTGGTGCCTTATTGTAGGCCATGTTGGATGTGGATGTGACTTTGGACACAGCAGGAGATGTAATGGGCACAGGTTTAACTACTTCTTTAGGTTCTCCCTATGTAAAATAAAAATAAACATACACAAAACACACCAAATACATGCAAAATAGATTCACTGAAAAGAACACACAGCTAGTTTTTAAAAAGACAAACACAATCATGTTAGCAGCCCAAACTTTACTTGTTTCTAGATAAAAAAAAAATGAGTATAACATGCATGCCAACTGGTTCCAACATGCATATCACAGATGCAAACAATGAGTGTATTTTTTTTAATAAAAATAAAAGAAGTTTCAAAATATTTTTTTTAATAAAAATAAAAGAAGTTTCAAAATAACTAGAATAGGAAAACTATCAAAAAGCCTAAATACCATCATAAGTGTCAACAGATACTTTAATTTTCCAAAAGGAAAAAATTTTAAATACCCCACAATAAACAAAATATCATTAACAAAAACATTTATTTTAAAATATCCAGTCTTGATTACAATTTCATCTTTCAAACAGCTTACTCTACAGAGTAAAATTATTTAAATCATGAGGAAAAAAATAGCACATTTCCAAGTCTTCCATTTAAAAAAAATTTAAAACAGAGAGAATAAAATCATTTTCATCTAACTCAGAAATGTGCACATTCTAATGAATTATTTTGAATGAAGATACTGCTTAAAAGTAAAAATCTCAACAATCCACCTGTTTCTCTGGAATGTTTTGAGATATTATTTGGAGATGGAATAAAATTATTTCCCTTTTCCAAGATAAACAGTTAATAGTTACACGAGGGAAAAAAAAAACGATCTTAGAGGTTTCTTTATTTCCATTTGTCAAAGAAAATTTAACTAAGAAAAGTCAATTCTTCCTAAAAGTAACATAATTTATGTTTGCAAATCTCTATCCCAAAGAAAGTGTGAAGTTTAAAAAACAAAAACAAGTTAAGCTTCTGTGACATTCAAGAACAAATTCCTACTCATCCTACCATTTCAAAAGAAAAATTCTTTTAAAAACTTACAATGGTGGCCCTATTATGTTTAATTTAAAAAAAATAAGTGATCTAAATTAATCTTGTAGAAATAATAAAGCTAATTGAGGGAGACAAAGTAACTTAATGTCTCAGCAAATCAATATAAGTAATTCACTGGAAAGGCACAAACAAAATTAAGGAGAAAATCCCCCAAAGCATAAGCCAGGTGTATATGAAAAATGGTTTGGGACAATTTGAGGATGTATATGAGAGAAAAAACATAGTTGCCAATAACTGAATCCAGAATATTCTGAAAATGTAATTAAAAACTTATTTCTATCACTAATAAAATGTTACCAAAGACTTGAGGTACTCATTTTTAGTAACCACTTATTTATTCTCTGTGAAATATGTGAATAAAGATAGGCAATTTGAATGTGAATATAAAAAAAAGGACATTAGTTAGATACTAAATGGCACTGGAAATCATGTTTTAATAACACTGGTATAATTACAGATGTTAATTATGTATGTGTTGATTTCCATCTCCCCCCTGCACCACCACCAATCTTTAAAAGAAAAGAATCATAAGGAAAACTGTATTGAAACTATTAATTGTCAGTATGTCCTAAGATAAGAATGGAAATGGAAGGAGGGACTATCAAGTGGTACCTAGTGATACCAGATAAGAAACACACCTTTTGAACAGGAACTGGCTCAGGCTTGGGTGTGGCAGATGCCCTAAAGGGAAAAAATAAATAAATAAAAAGAGAAAAAAATATAAATTTTTGTAAATATCTTATTGATGGAATTATTAGTACATACCTTAATATATTAAATAATCAGAATTTATAGTTTCATAATTCATAGTCTTGACTATTCATCATCTACTAATTAATTCATGTAACTCAAATGCTACAAGTACCTATACCCTTACACACTGTAAGGTAATTCATTAGTTTTCTACACATTCAAATAAGGGAAGACAAACACCAACTGTTTCCTAATGCACCCATGTTTAAGCTTTCAATTAAGGCTGTTCTCCACCCAAAAGGGAAAAGTGTAATAAACATGACTGTTTCATCCTTGACTAGTTCCTAAAATATCTAATCTGAACCTCTATCTCCAACACTATCTGCTTTTTCTCCTAACATCCAGGAATACATCCACAGGACATTGGATTTCTATGAAGATACTGAATAAATTCTGGTTGAACTGAGTCACCAAATGAGTATTTATTTGGAATTTATGTTCTTAAATGCTTATGCCAGGTAATATATTTGTTATGGTAAAACTCAACTGTAAATTCTTCTTTAGGCTATATTTTCAGTGAAGGAAATAACCATCTTCCATTTGTCTCTCTATATCAGTACTGTTGCCTGCATGTAACAGGTCATCAGTAATGAGTGTGGCAAAGGAGAGAACAAGGGAAGAAGGGCAAAATTCCATGAATACAGAACCATTTCCAAATTCAAAGTAAGTATTTTCAATATATGCTTTTTTGTATTATCACTGTCCCTTTGGTTAGCATGGACTAATAGTAACAATAATTTATTTGAAGCAATTATTGCATATAACCATGACAAATAACCAAAATAGCAACTACCCTTATCCCCATTTTTTACTTGACGTATTTCAAAGTTTAGAGTAAGTAAATTACTAGGATATAGCTGGCTGACAGTTCTTTATATTATAATATACTAGCTGCAGCCAAGGATAGTAACTAAATGATTGGGAAAGCTTCTAATAATTTAAAGACTACCCAGTATTAAGGTACATATTATGTTTAATCATGCCAGAAGCAATGTGACTCCTCCTATAACACAAGGGTGCAGATAAGACATCAAGTGCAAAATTTAAGAAATGTAACCTAGTAGGTAAATAATAAGTGTAACAATTTAAAGGTACAAACCATGAGACTGTTTTACTTAAATAACAGATCGCCAATGGAAGGAAGAAGCTAGCATAGGATATTTGATCTCTGAGAATAACTTAATAATGAACTCTGATCAACATTTTTAACAGCAACCGAATTTTCCAATAACAACTAATTTGGTTAGTTAGGGCAAGCACTGACTGAGTAATTGACTAACCTAGTGAGAGGCCACAATGGATGCTAACATTCGGTTACTACAATATAGAATTATATTCTGCAAAGCTGTGTAACTTTCCATGTGTACTCTCAAATAGACAATTTCTCCTTTAGCATATAGGATTATTATAATAAGCAAAGAAAACAAGTTCAAGTACAGAACAGTGGAATCTTCCTTTCATTGAAATTTCACAATGAGATGTAATCACAGAGGATCTATTTATTAAAACCACCCAAGACATTATTGGAAGTCTGCCATAATAGGATGGTTTCTTTTTTCATTTGGACACTTAAAGGTGTATGAAACTCTTCTGGAAACATAAAAACAATTTATAAAAAGAACTGGATGTTCAACAGTCACCAAGTTTCCAAACAGAATAGAATGCATATATCCTATGTCTATGAAAACAATCCCTTAGTTTTTTCAGGGTGTTAACACGTTCTTAACCAACATTAGCAACAATAACAAGAACCTCAGAATGGTTAGTTTACTTAATTTTGGAATCCAACCTCTTATTTTGTTGAGAAAGCACAGAATAATAATGAGTCCTAAAATACTTTATGTATTGAAAGTCTGCAAAAATACTGCTTTGAAATCTTGAATTCACAAATGAACTTACGATCTGAAACCTGAACCTGTTAGCCCTGCTTGCCTTCTGATAAAATTTCACAAGTGCAACTACCTGAAGTATGACAGAAAAAAAAATGGATAACACATCTTCAAAATTCCAGAATTGGGTCCACTACACATTAAAAACACAAACATCATTTTGTAGGGAAAAAATATTTACTTATAATGAAATGCCAAACAAAGGAGTTGACACTAGATGCAATAAAAATTAGTTCCTTGGGCTTAATTATTTAAATAACCACCAAATGAGTCATAAAATCACTAAAACTTAGATTTCCTTTAAAGTTACTCTGTCACATGACATGCAGGTATTCATTTAAGCCATGTAATTTTTTAACTGTTGTACTTAAAATGGCCCTCATTTTAGAGTGTCGTTTTGCTTTTTGGAGTGAAGAGAAGTCAAACTGCTGTCATTAAAAATATTTGGAAAAACATTTTAACACACACAGTACATATGTACCTATAATATTCATTAGTTACATTTTAAAAGATCAATATTTAAGTGTACTTATATTTAAATGTATTTTTTATTTAAGTGTATATTTAAGTATAATTACATACTCTTATGACACTAAAACTATTGTGGCTTGAAAAATTAAAATACATGACAAATGAAATCTATAAAATTAATTAACAGCAAAATTAATAAACAGTTTTAAAAATTCAATTTTTACTATTACAAAATAACAAAATAAAAAGATATACCACCTTTCCACCTTTTGCTCTCGTGTGTAGAGATTTTTTTAATGTTAATACATAATGTTTGAGAGACTACACATTGCTGGAAAAACTATATATTAACACAGCTCTCTTGAAAAATAATTTGCCATGTATTTGTAAAAAGCCCTGAAGAAAGCCCATGCCCTTTGACATAATGATCAACTTCTGGGAATATATCATAAGGAAATAATATGATATGTGGAAAGGACTTTATGTATATTCATTCACTACAGTGTAACTTATAATATTGAAAAATTGGAAACAACCAATTAAATAAACAATGAGGAAATGGTTAATTGCAATATAACCATATGGTAAAACATCCAATGAGTAAAATCATTTTTTGAAAGAATCCTGAACTGCATGATAACATGCTTACTTTATGATATTCAGTTGAAAAGAAAAGATATAAAAAAGCATATCCAGCATGGTCAATGCATGAAAAAAAGCAGATGGAAATAGACTAACATTTTAGTAAAGGCTCTCGACAAATAGTATTTGCTTTTTCTCTTTTGTGTGTTTTCTGTTTTATAAAATGTACATGTGTTTTTTTATGGCAAGTAAGACTATTTCTCAAAGTATATTTCATGGAAAACTACTTTTCAAAACACAAAACAAAAAAGAGGTTCTGTTACCAAAGATATCTGGGAAACTTAAAAGTTATATAAGCATGTTAACTGCTGCAGGGCAGAGGCTGTGGAGGGTGGTCGCAGCTCCCTAGTTGATGGTTCATCTTGGTTTCATTTTTTTTTTCTTTTTTCATCTTGGTTTCAGACAATCCCAGTGACACGTCCCTCCCAACAAGAACAGAAAGGGGACCAGGGGACCCTCCCAGCCCCCCAAACAGGTCAGCCCCCTATTAAAGTTGATGCCTGCGAAACAAAAAACAAAAAACAAAAAACAAAAAACAAAAAACAAAACAAACAAAAATAAGCATGTTAATCACAGAACTTCTCAGAGCCTTTAAACGCCTAAAGAAAAAAATACTGCAGATTGTTGTCCATACCCCTTTGAAGTATGACATACTCATCTACTTAGAATACTTATTTATTTAGGAAACCTTTTTTCTTAAAACTGGAGTTAGGGGGAAAAAACCCTCCAGAAAATGCTATTTTAAAGAAACAGTAAAGAAAGTAAACCTCTGTAAATCTGAAATGTTTACTTAAGTCTCCTACAAGTGGCTAAAATGAAAGAAAAATATTTTAATCCATACAATCTTCAAACTATTGATTTCTTCAACTGTGTTTACTAAGTAAGATACTCAAAAATTATGAGCATAATCAATGTTTTAGAAAGGAAAATCTCATTTCCCTCACCAAGCTGAAATACATGTTTCCTATATTCCCATAGGAGAAAATCCTAACAAGTATTTGAATAATATTTTGAATTACTGAATAATAAAAACTATTTCTCAGAATTAAGATTTTTAGTCATCTTTCAAAAAAAGTAAACACATTATACCCAGCATTTACACCCTTACTTTAGAAATGTCAGAAATTACTTAAAAGTGAATCATTTTTAAAAGATTTTTAAATAGATAAGCAGTTTTTAAAACTAAGGTAAAGTTATTAAAAATTACATCTACATTTTCCCCTTTAAATCCTGGGAAATACACAATGGGATAATATATCTCCCTTTCAACTGCAGTGATCACCACAAGTCACTTTTGTGTAGTGTGTGTTTCAAACTAGCAGAGATCCTAGCAATGGCTTAGTGCCATGGGCTCAACAATTTGCTTATTGTTCTCTGTTCTCTTAGTGTGAAGCCACTGTACTGGAGTAAGCCATGATGGTGAGAGACTGATGCATTGGCCCAATACTATCCTCAGGCTCATGGAATTCAAAGAACAAAGCCATCAGTGTGGCTACAACAATCTATTTTGAAAGGTGATTGATTTTTCTAAGAGCAGCATCCAAAATAAAAATCCTGGGTACACTGCAACCAGTTTCAAAACTTCTGGCTAAACGGTTCAAAGACCTCTATGTTATAATGGATTTTATTAGAGACTAAAATTGTGATGTCCTGGTTATAATGATGTATAGGAAAAATAATGGCGTAAATAAGCAATAGCTCTATCAGGAATTAGATTCAAAGGAATCAAATAAAACTGCATCTTATGAACACCCAATGAATGGTATTATATTTAAGTTATATAATGAATTAATGGATTTTTATAATACTGCTTTATAAAATAATGTGCTTTTAGCTTAAAAAGTAGCCAACGAATGCTCACATTGGTATTTAAGAATGAGGAATTAAGCTACAGAACTAGACTGATAAAGATTATTCACATTACTC